GTAACCGTTCATTCTAATTGGTGGACTATTGTGTATTAATTATACCTATATTAAGTAAATACAAAGAGAATCCGGCAGATCCGCAGAAGGGACATAGTTCAAGTTTTGCTATGTGGACAGGAAGTAACATCTGGTACTTTCCTGGAATTCTGGCAGTTTCAGCAAAGTCGGAAAGTCTTTGAGAATTTGAGAGCTGACAGCACGGAACAGCGATAACTTAAAAGTGGAACGGCCGGAGCCTCATCCCCTGATCGTAATGCATCAAGGGGCTGTCAACCTTAGCGTCAGGTCAGCATCTGCCAGAATCATATAGCAAAGCATCATGATTGGAAATTCAAAATTTAGGGAACCTCCTAGTTTGAAAACTTAACCAATGGCAAAAGTGGAGGAGTGGATTTCTCTTGGAGTCTGGGGTTCGTGGACCTCAGGATTCAGAGAGAGGGCATTCCACCTCAAGGAGTCTTCATACAACTTTCAGCAAAGTCGGACACAAAATTACGACTACGTCCCATCCGTAAAAGTATTATTACAAGTAAAGTTCTACATAAGTGTTACTAATAGATTCATTTGTATTCAGTGAGCCGGAGGGAATTAAATGATTACTAAGTGCAACGGTCTAAAGAGGTGTGTGTGATTGTAGTGAAAGATTCTTCCTGCCCTGCCCGAGCCAGACCCGTATAAGACCCGGGATATGAACTCAGCTCTACCAATTACCGAACAGAACCCAGATACTCCCGTCTTTACCTATTCGCGAGACACCTAAGCGTGTACAGGAAGCGAGCTCTCGCCTACCAGCTCCAACAACCACAATTCTCCTCCCTTCCCACCTAACTTCTCGACATCCACGAGAAGAGGGAGGACGGTGATAAGGGAAACCAACGTAAGGGCACAACGAAGCGAGCGGTTATAGGAAAGATGGCGACCAACGTGTGAAGCTTGAAGCCTCACTGACGAAAAGCCGTTAGAACGTGTACTTATGCCACTTATTGTAAAGCCTACTTACGGTACAAATAAGGGTCATTTAATTTCGTCGGATTAAAATTTGACTAGAGGAAAATACTCATGACCTATTTCTTGAACTATTATTATTTCGTTTTATAGAGCATGTGAATGTTCTGTTGTGGGTTACTTTACAACATTAGAGTATGCAGTGTCAGATCGTAATGAGCAGTCCGTAATTGGCCTTGCGGCCGCTGGCTCAGCACATAAATAATAAAGAATTGAATTAGTATTATTATTTTTTTTTTCATGGGATGAGACTAAGTCCACTTGGTACTGCGGCCACTGTTTGGCCTGTTGTACCAGCCCCAGATGATAGATGATGATTGTGGACCAATTGGTGGAATGAGAATTGGCGGGGGAAATCGAAGTACTCGGAGAAAACCTGTCCCAGTTCCACTTTGTCCACCACAAATCCCAGGCCGCCGTGATGGGAAGCCTCAGCTATGGCACGGCCCTGCCTAGTCCGTTAAGTTGGAATAAGAAGAAATCAAATCATGACTCCTGGACCTGAACTACAGTCTTTCAAAACGTTAAGCAAATAGCTTAAGCAAATATGTAGACGAAACGAGAATGGAACCTGATGATGGTGCTAGGCGTGCTCCACAGATGTGGCACCGAGTCTGCGACAAGACAGGAGACTTCACTAAGATTCCGTGATTTTAGTCCGCAAGCGAACTATACCGACCGAGCGACCGCCGCTTGTCGGCGAAGTCAGTGCCAACTTTAGCGGATAGTGGGTGTCGCGTGGTCAGCGCAACGAATCCCCACGGCCATTAATTTCGGGTTTCTAGACCGGAGCCGCTACTTACTTGAAATAGCTCCTCAATTATCCTCACGAGACTGAGTGGATCCCGTTCCAGACCCACTACTTCTCAGAAAATCTGGTAGCGCCGGGAATCTAACCCGGACCTCGGGATTTGTAGCCAGGAAATCTTAGAACTAGACCACAGAGCTAAAGGCTTCAAAACTGTCGTCTTTGACTAATACAATTCTCCTTTTAATTTCATACCAACATTGCCACTGGTTTCCGAATGGCCTGAGTAAATGAGACTCCGATTCTAAAACGACGCTATGATTATGACCGCACCCACACAAAATGGCACTGATATGGTCATTGTGAGTTGAAACTCAAGCTCTAAATGAGAGTGTCAAAACTACGAAACAGCACAACTGCGCTGTGCGTTTGGCTTTTAAGTAGTGTGAGACAAAAAAGTGCTCCGTGTTGCTAACTGCAATATAAAAGTTGCTCCATGTTGCTAATTGTAATACAAAAGTTCCCTTATGACCATCTGCTCTCCTTTTTCACGCAGTACGGGCAAGAAATTCCCAGGCGTTTTTCACTGTCTTATTAGTACAGCGTCTGTCGGGCGCATTCCTTGTAAGTTGAGACCCTGTGTTTATGCTTTGTTAAGTGAAGCACTAATTGAAATGAACAAGAATATCTTACACTGCAATCTGAATATTGGACAGGACAAGTAGAACAGTACTTTAACATATATAACAAACAAATCAAGAAACAAATTTCATGGTTTTAGTCCGCAAGCGACCTATACCGACGGAGCGACAGCCGCTTGTCGGCGAAGTTAGTGCCAACTTTTGCGGATAGAGGGTGCCGCGTGGTCAGCGCAACGAATCCCCACGGCCATTAATTTTCGGTTTTCTAAATCGAAGCCGCTATTTCCTTGAAGAAGCTCCTCAGTTAACATCACGAGGCTGAGTGGACCCCGTTCCAGACCTACTAATTCTCAGAAAAAATCTGGTTGCGCCGGGAATCGAACCCGGACCTCTGGATCTGTAGCCAAGAACGGTGACCACTAGACCACAGAGGCGGTCATAGGCCACGGAAAACCTGATACTAATTTTGAATCACCCTGTACAATTGAAAGCGGTAAAGTTGTTGCCAGAGCCATGTTTCGTGACGATCGGCTCAGGCATTCAAGTAGCATTTAGGTTATTACTTCAGCGATTTCAGAGGCCTTAGTATTGGTATTACTGATGGGCGGGATTTATCAAGTATGCCGATGAGGTGGCTTCAGGTGACATAACATAAATACTAAGTTTCATGACGATAAGTTCAGGCATTCTAAAGTTGTTGGGGGTGACACACAGACAATATTCTGATCTCACAAGCCTACTTCTATTATTTTTCTTTTCAAAAAAGAAAAGCAGGCTAAAAACTGAATGGACGTTAAGAAGTATAAAAGCTGTGTTCTTGGTGTTCAACTGTTTGTTAAAACGGTTCTTGTTTCTGTATTGTTGTGCAGATGTTTTGTCAGTGCTGTGTCTTATGACTGTTGAGTGCAGACTCTTCCTGCCTATCGTCACACTTGTAACCAGTACATATCGGTAGTATGTAAGTAAACTGACGATCTATCCAAGTACCAAATGCCTAACTCTAGTGATTCATTAGTTATCGCAATTAAACCGAAATGTACAATAAACACCCATTTCTAACATGACTTATATTTCACTCGAGTTAATAATGTCACATTTTGATGTGAGATGTTACATTGTTAGCCTCAGCGTAAAAAGCAAAAGTTTGTTAGTATTTATTTTTTGTAAAATTATATAGCTGAAAACAAATCAAAAGTCTGCATGCTGTCGCCATTTTGTTGTTTCTTACACTCTACAAAACAATTAGTTTAACAAACGTTCCATGTCACCTCATCAGTAAGTAATTTCAGGAACCTAGATTAAGTATTGCTGACACCTCACCAGTTCGTGCTTTGGCCACGGTTGTTAACTGTAAGAAAGTAAAAGGCACGTGGTTGGGGGTGTTTTTTTTATGGCATATTAAATTCTGTGAAAAATGGGTCAGTTGGTTCAAAAAATCAAACTACACACACGCGTACATACACAGAGCTTGTTGATTGTAGAAGCCTAAACTTTTCCTTCAGGACGGAAAGTAGACTGATGTCCGGCTGGCTCAGTACATTAAACTTAAAAAAAAAATCCAGTTTTCTTTTGTAACAAAACCATTATGTGGGTAGCATTTTTATTATTTTCAGATATGGATCGTTGGATACTGTATTTAACTTGGTTTGTGAACTGAAGTAAGTATCTTAAGTCACAAGGACCTTGGTCGTGGAAAGCCATTACGAACCATCAGATTTATTCTAATACATTCGTTGCAGGAAACAGAATTGGTTTCGTAGAACTCAACACTATTTGCAGCAAAGAGGTTGCTCTAGTGGCAACGTTGCAGACTTCTGTTCGGCAGATGCTTCACTAAAATCTCGCCTGGGACCACAAGCTACCCTGATTCAGTTTTCTCGTGGTTTTCCTCAGTCCCTCCAGGCAAATGCTGGGAAGCAGCCCGATTAGGGAACAACCGCTTCCTTCCAAATCCTTCCCAATCTGTCACCCCATCATCTGACATTCGTCTCGATAGTGAGGTTCAATAACATACGTAGGGCGGGAAGAAATTTACGAACACAAGCTGCACCGTTTTCGAAATGACAGTGACATTAATGAAATACACATGCGAAAACTTAAAATATTAGTAATTACGTGCTAACTACATTTCAACATAAGAAATAAGCGTGTGCAATGAAGTTTAAATCTTGCAAGGAAAATACATCTGCACTAGCACCAGGGCTCTCAGGCGACAAATGTGAAGCCTTCAAAAGCTGTGGGATAAAATCTGTAGTCATGAGAGTGACATTTTCACACTTAAAATCATGGCCAACGCTGGAACCATACCAATCTCACACCTATTCATAATTTTGTAGCGTGGATTTTAAAATCTAATGATGACAGTAATGGTATAAAAGTGACGATGTGTCAATGAACCCGTCGACTTAAGAATAAACAAATACATTTTCGTCATAAACCCTGAAAATTCCATGAATGATAATGATGACACTTACTAGTCTTGCATGAAAAGGAAATGTCAAGCAGAAGGAACAAAGCATGAATATGGAGGCGGCGAACATACACAGACATATCTTATTAGCGACGGAAACGAAACAAAGAAGTCCCGTCATATCTGAACTCACCACTTGCGTAGGAGAAGTCATTTCTCCTTTGGTATCCAGCTGTAATCAAGCACTCTTCCCTCTCCCTGGTTATAACTCGCAGTACAGAGCCTGAATAGCCTGCTTTGCGGCCGACTTCGGGTCAGCTGGTTGTATAACGACCTTGAAAAGGTTTGTTTTGGTTCTCGGTGTACTTGCAAAATCCGTATATTGCAACTACTAATGCATACCCTAGTGACCAATGTGAGAAGCTCGTGGAGTTCAGTGCACTGATGTATGATGGCAACTACTCAGTATTGAGCGGTTGTATTTGTATTGGCGACCAGCCGTGCAGAGCCATCTTGTGGCAAATAGTGAAGCTACTTGTAGGCACTGGCTCTGTGAATGTAATGAAATGGGATAGGTTTCGGGTTAGAGATTAAAGAAATATGCCGGTGCAAGGAAGTTGAACACGGAAGTCGTGGCGCGAATATAAAATTAAATATCCTGAATTCTTTTTAAATGGCCTAGAAAATTCACGTTTGACAATTAAATGTTACTTTAAAACTTTCAATTCCTGCACTGATTGGGATACATTGTAAGAGGAAAATGTATTATTTATTACTGAAATGATTGCTTACATTTGTAGCATGAAAGTTCAATGACTTTTCAGGCCGTGTTGACACGTGTGTTGCTGAAGCAGTGTTTTATGTTCGAAGCTAGGGACGAAACCTTACCGGTACATAATAACTTAGTAGCCTCTGTAGAATTTTTGTAATTCTATGAATGTAAAATTGATTAATTTTGCTATTAAACTGAAGGGTGTTAAATTCGTGTCCAAAGTAGATGTTTTGCGAAGACCTCTGTCAATTTTAAGAAAAATAACGATTCCTTGTAAAAGGCCCTTTGCCAGGTTCCTTGAGCTGTGTATTGTTTTTCCTAATTCACCAAAAATTATGTACATTAGGTAGAATAACCAAAATTGAAAGATAGCGCATTGAATTCAATTCAATTCAATTCAATTGAAGCATGTTACCACATATTTCTTGTATATTTTTGAGATGTAAGTAATTTGGAATTGACGAGAAAAAAGAAATATGAATCTCTGCAATTTATTACTACTCGTATAGAAACATTCATAAAATTCGTTTAAGTTAGCAAAAAAGTAACATTAGCTTACCATATTATATATTGTAATCATTATATAACCCATTATATCAACATTATTTAATGGTAGTTCAGAAACATACAGGTAATGGAATATATAACTACAGAAATGTAAAAAGCGTAAAACAATATTATTGCCTGGGGGGAAGGTCAATACAGTTAAATGGGCCTTTTTATAAATATCCATCTGCATTGCTACAAAGATTCATCGATTCAGGCTTAAAATGATTACATTTGTAGGGGTGTGAGTTTCTTGATAGAAAGGAATACTCATAATCAGCTGAATTAATAATACGCTTGATATCTTGCAGGAAATCTGAGCAATGGCCATTTTCAGTCAAAAGAGGACAGACAGGTGTAGTCCTAATGAACAGCCTGAGGGGTAAAGTGATTTATCTTGGTTTACGGTGCAGAAATAATCATGCTGTAAAATTCTTACTACTATTTTATACTCAGATTTCAAATTGTACAGAACCATAGAACAACATTTCATAATTAATATTCGTTTATTTTGACTCGCCTGACTTAGGGAAGAAGGGACAGGAGGCTGGAGAAAATTGCATAATAGCAAGCTTTATAATTTGCACTCCTTACCAAATGTTATCAGAATGATGAAGTCAAGGAGGATATGAAGGGCTGGGCATGTAGCATGCATGTGAAGGAAGAGAAATGAATACAAAATTTTGGTAGGAAATCCCCAAGGAAAGGGACAACAAGTAAGACATATACAAGGATGCAAATGCATATTAAGGAGATAGGATGGTGTGATGTGGACTGGATTCATGGTGTGCCCATGTGAACACAGTAATGAACTTTTGTATTCCATAAAATATTGGGAAATTCTTGAGTGTCTAAGAAACTGATGTCTTCTCAAGGAGGACTCAGCTCTATAGACTTATTTAGTGGGCACCGATTGATTGTTTAATTCAGATTCACAATCCTTCCGGCCACACTAGGCCCTGGGGTTTACTCAGAAATGAGTACCAGGAATTAATTAAATGATTTTCCTGGGGAGTAAAGCGCGGCAGGCGCGTAAGGCTGACAACCTTACCGCCATCTTTGAGCCGATTGTCAAGGTAATTTGGGACCCTCAGTGTCTCATAACCCTATAGGCCTTCACGGCCTGTTACAGGGATAGCTTTCCTTTTTTTTTTACAGTTCATTTATTGACCAGTTTTGTTGATGGTCATGTTGGCATATGTTGATGAAATATAATGGTATTGCTGTGACCCTTGATGTGTATTTGGGATTCATGCTATTTTTGCAGCCTGACATGTAAAAGGGTGATCACATTGGCCCCACAGTCTACAGTTTGCCCTCTACCTTTCTTTCCCCATACACTCGCAGATAAACCGGCAGGCTTCATGCCACAGTCAGTCTTCCAGCCTATATTGCTGAATTACACGTCCTGCAGGTAGCACTGGTGGACTGACGGGTTCCCTACAGTCCAACAGTCCAAACGATTGGCTGGCTGGCCATACCACACACATCAGTTTTGCCTTTCAGTCTTCAACTGTGCAGGCCAAATGGGAGTACAAACTGTGTGTGTATGGGGGCCCTAAGGCATTAACTGTCTTCACCTGCTCGAACACTGGGATCATGACTTCGAATTTCGCTTGAGGCATGGATGTCTGCGTACATTTATTCTGTGTTTGTGTTGTTCTGTGTGTAGGTAGCAGCCTTGCGACAGGCTGATCCCCGGTCCAAGGCATCCTACCAACTGTGTATAGGTTAAAAGAGGGGAAAAGTAGCCAAGTTCCACAAGGGTTGCAGAGCCATAGATAGATAGATAGATAGATAGATAGATAGATAGATAGATAGATAGATAGATAGATAGATNGGTAGACAGATTTATAAAATATTGTGTCCTGACAAGAGTTTTGATATTTCCATTAGAAAGTGCAGCCTATACTTCGTATCAGATTCATTACTGTAAAACTATGTGTTAGCAAAATGTTTTTCATTAGTTTTTGAAAGTACAGACCATGCTTAGTATCATTTCCAAAATACTGTAAAACCATACATCAGCAAATACTTTTTCTTTGGTTCTAAAGATACTGCCATTACTCTGAGATTCTTAAGTGCAAAACTTGTATTGTGGTTCAAAGAATAGATATTCGCAGGTTTGCTGACATTGCCTTTTTAATGGTAATTATGCAGGGCTGGAAGTGTGGGTAGGCAGAGAAGACTTTCCTACTTGTCCTGAACATCTATTTGGTTTTTAAAAGCCATTTGCACCTAGGAGTAAGTAAATATGGGAGTAATATCTGGAAACCTCAGTAATATTATTTGCTATGTGTAATACAATATGTACTCGTAGTACATTAAAGTAACTGAACAATTATTTTATGTAGCTTTCAAATGTAGGTTTCGAACCAAAGTTCAATACAGATATCTATGATGGCAACAGATTTTTCATTCAATTTTACCCAAATTTAACTTTCCCCCAGATCTTTTGAATATTATATTTTCCTATATATGATATATATTTGAGAATTATCCTGTGTATTTTAATTTCTAAAATCGGAGTAAGGTCCACTGCAGTACAAGGGACTAGAGTGGCAAAATTATTCATTGCTGGCTCATGAAACGTAATGAAAGGTCTGGGTGCGGGGGGGGGGAAATAATAGTAGGTAACCTCCTTACCGTTTGAGCTCGGCGTAGTGGTAAGCAGCCATTTTGAAGTTGTTACACAGCAGATTGGAGTAGATGGCAGCATACCGAACTTGCCTCAGGTGCATTTCCACTTAGTGGCATTGAGATGCATTATCGCGTGTGCTGAAGCCTGTTTTGAGGGTTTTGCGAGGTTTGCGAGAGTAGGAGTTGATTTTGAGAAATGTAGAAAATTCGCGCCTTTTTCATGTAGAGCCATGTAGAGTGCATCCCGTACGTAATCCACAGTTTGCCGCTACTGTCAGAATAACATGTGAACTACGTTACAAAGTATTACTGACCGTGAAAGGTTTTATGTGATGGTAGTACTGATATGAAAATCTGTGCGTGTTTGTGGGGGTCGCTAGTTGGATTATCGAAATTGAAGTTTTGGGGATTCTAGGTAATTGCTAAAGTTGTGACTAAAGTAATGTGTAATGACTGCAGTTTTTTAAATGTTGGGTTGTAAGATTTCAAGTACGGTGATAGAGCACTTTTTGCTACTTCCAATCATGTGTTTATTAAGTTCATGGTGATAGTGTAATTTCAACATTCCCATGATGTCGGCCATATTACGTTCGCTACCAGAACTTTACACGTCGTACAAGGATTGGGTGAGCCAGAACCCTCAAGTTGCGGGAGATTTTGAATCTACTGTCAAATGGTTATCATATTTCATTGCAGGTTGGTACGGTTTAGCAGCAGGAATAAGTTAGAGGTAATTCTGCATCTTTGTAAAAAATTAAAAACTGTCTACATCTTTACTAAAACACTATTTTCCGCGTTAAAATGATATTCGTTAACGGTTGTTAAATGTGGTAATTTGGTCTGGCCTTGGAATCTAGTCCACTTCACTTACAGTTAAAATATTTTATGTTTGTGATTTTAGTAAAGTAGCACTTGTATGTAAGTTATGGTGATTAGTCAGTTGGCATAACTGTTCGAAAAGGCTTACATGATTCAGACTGTGTGTGTTAATTTATGTAAAATCTGGATTCATTGATGTGTAATGAAGTTTGATAGTCTGTGGTAATAGATTAGGATGTTTTGGATGAGATGGTCATCTTGTTACCAATAAGTTTCTAATGGCTGAAGGTCTCAACACAGATTTTGAAAATAACGCTGCTTTTAGTAACAGATGCAGGAGCAGCAGTAGGAGCAATTAGATGTCAACAAGATTTTGTCCTCATTATACAGTATGAAAGAGCACATAAAAGTGTATTTTATATTATTTGTTGGCTAGTGGGGCATCTTCTGGTCGCCTCAAGCATTCAGGCCACTGCAAGGGTGCTCCAGTGTTCCTCAGTACTAGAAAAACTTTCTCTTTCATGTCTGTCACTTCTAGCCATGCAGAACCAAAGATCTCAATTCTCCTCAGCCAGAGCTGGGCACCGACAAAGTATGTGGTATGAAGAATCCTCTTACTGTCTAGATCTCTTGCACAGGGCAGTTTCTGAGAGGCTTGTGATTTTTAGGTACTGCCCCAGTGTACGGTGGCCAGTCAGCATATCTTTTACTAGGGTACGTTTTCTGTCCCATCCAGTAGGTCCCTAGACGCTTTATCTGAAGGCCCTTCAATGAAGCTCTTCAACTTCATTGTACCTAGTGTAGCAGCCCATTGTGAATGCTCCTCCCTCAGCCACGTCTTAATCTTGGTCCTACCAGCAGATGGCGATATTGAAATTGCAGGTTTGAGACTGAGAATTATTTAATCCTTTCTTGACCAAGGCCTCAACATCCTCATTACTCTCAATCGCACTGTAATCAAGGATCCAGAGCAATATGAACTTGTTCCAACTACACTGAAACCTTGATTTTATAGTTTCTAAGGGACCACCTAAAACAAATGCAAAATCGAGGAAGCTGTAAAATCAGGGAAATATGAAGACTGTGGTCTTCTTCATGCCATAACTTCAGAAATTCACTTAAAATATGCATATTTGAACACAATGTAAATGTGTTTTTTTTTAAATTTTACGATGCTTTATCAACTGCTTTGTTTTAGTAACATCAGTAACATAAGATGGTGATTATAACTGGTTAATGGAAAGGATATTGAAGAAAGCTGTCATTGCCTGTTTCAAGGCACTATCCCAGCATTTTCCAGGATGGTGAATACCTAGTTACACTATTTCCTCTAATAGCCAACTTTCTGTTTCTTTACTCCTTGGGCAGTCAGTCTGTATAATTCATTTTCACCTGTATTGCACATTACAATAATATTGTCCTTGGTATCGAATTGATGTATGTACTTTCTGGTTGCTTCCAGTCCTTTCAATGCAACCAAGAATGCTGCTTTATGTTTTACAACTTCTTCCTCTTTTAGACTAATTAAATCTTGATCTGATGCCTGGTTGACACTCCAAACTCCACAGATCATGAGAGCGCTGGCACATATTGTGTAGTCCTCAGACTGCATTACATTATGTTACGTTACATTACATTGCATTCCATGGATCCAAAGTTAGTCAAAATGACTGTAGGATGTGGAATATGTCATATAAATACAAAACATATGTACAGTCCCAATGGAGTTCTCATGCAAGAGAAACCAAGAATACACATTGACTTCACATAAGGCAATTTAAAGATACATAGGTTATTTTCTAGACAGTAGGTATTCATCAGCAGAGTAGAATGAGTTTGTATTTAAATATCGTTCAGTGCTATTTCAAATCGTGCTTTTTCATTCATAAGACTTTTGAGATCAGATGGCAGGTTATTAAAAATTTTGATCCCAGCACAATATAAGCTTTTCTGAAAGCATGAGAGGTTAGCAGTTGGTTTATGAAGACAGTGTTTGTGTCTTGTGTTAACACTGTGTACATCCGCATTCATCTGAAAATGTTCGTTATTTGTAATGAAGTTTATTAATGAATATATATATATATATATATACGATGGGGTACCCAAAAGAAACCGAACTAATTTTTTTGTGGGCAGAGCTTTTGTAGTAC